TGAGCCTTGAGTCCTTAGAGTTGGGGTGCTTTTAAGCCGCTTAATGCCTTTGTAAAACACATTCACATGTTCCACAAATAAATAGGAAGACTGTGTCTTATGTGTCAGTGTCTGGAAAACTAATAGAATGTACAGGGAGAGTCACTTTGGGTGTCTGTGACTTACTGATTTAAAGGTGCATGTCTCCTGTGAAAACTGTTAACACATTGTAATACAGTGTGCCTTTTTTCATCTTTTTTTTTTTTTCTATTTTGCTTGTCTGGGTAATGTGGGGTATATTCATTCCCTATAGCTTTTAAATAGTTTACTCAGTGTTCTCGCTTTTAGCTCAAATATTTTACTTTTCTAAGTATCTTTCCATATTTTCTATTCAGTGATGAGGAGAGGGAGGTGGGCAATGTCTTATTTGTCTCTTCACGAGGATTGGAAAGCCACAAGGAAGTTTCCCTTTGTTTGCTTTGACACATGGCTCAGGTTCTTCCTGAGATACTCCGTTAATAAGTGTGGGCATAGTGGTACCCACTTGGGATCCCAGCATTCAAAAGGCAGAGGCAGGAGGATCACAAATTCAGATCAGAGAATGCTACATAATAGAGCTCCAGTTCTCAAAAACAAAACAATCTTAGCACTCAAGAGACAGAGATAGGCAGATCAGAGTTCAAGTCCAGCCTCGGTTGCCTAATGAGCCCAATGCCAGGGTAGGCTACTTGAAAGTGTACTTCAATAACTAAGTAAATAAACTGAACATGAAATATAGTAAGACCCAGAATTTTTGATAACACCGAATAATAGCAACTAAGCTGCTTTCAGTGGTCATGTGATTTTAGATAGGCAAGTGATTGAGGCAATCATGTGATTTTAGATATTCTTTCAATTATCCTTAAGCATGTGATTTTAGATATTCTTTCAATTATCCTTAAGTTTCGCATATATGTGTGATTTCCCTCTGCAGGTTTTAAAGCCCTTGGCTTTTGATTTATTGGGTGACTGTGGCAGAATTACTTTTAAATGTGTATCTGCCTCACCTTCTCTTCTGGAGAAGATCACTTCTCTCTTCCCTGTCCATGGAAGTCAGACATGATACAGTGGTGCTTAGCCAAGGATAGTGTCAGTAACATGAGCGGTAGTGGGACAGAAGGCCCATGGAATGTAAAGACGATGCCATGGCCTGGCCTGTTGCATGTGAGTTGTGAGAATGAGAAGAGTCTATGGGGGCTCCATGATCCTGTACTGGCCTGTAGACCTAGAAGGATGAGTGGACATCTCATGAGGAGGAGAAGGCTGAGGGAAAACTAGCCTTTCTGAATACAGGGAAAGAGGTTGTAGCTAATGTTGGACTTGAATGTATCTCCCAAATATTCAGATTCAGAGGTTGAGTCAACAATGGAATAGACAAATGTGGAGGTCAGGGGTTGGGATTTCATAGAGAATGGCAACCGCTGTTGGCATGTGTTAGGTTGAAACACATTGGGCTGACTTAAGTTTGAGGTTACTAATGACCTGGGCTGTATACAAAAGCCAGTGAGTAAGTCAGTAGCAATGTTCCTTCATGGTTCCTACTTCAGTTCCCTCTTAAGCTCCTGCCCCAACTCCCCTCAGTGATGGACACCTGGAAGTATGAGCCAAATAAACCCTTTCCTCCTCCCCAAGTTGCTTTTGGTCATGATGTTTATCAGAGCAGCAGAAAAAGCAAACTGGAACATGATGGAAGAGGTCTCAAACAGCAACCAGGCAGAACATCATAGAAATGACAGGCCAGCTGCAGAGACAGGAGCAGGCTTATGGAGGGACATGGTGTAAGTCTCTGCCTGTTGGCAGTGTTGATTATGCAGAATAATTGGCTGTGATGGCAGTGTGGGAAGTGCGGGCATCTTGGTTGCTTTCTCCTGAGTGTGATGGGAGCTTTTCTGTTCAGCCTAATTTTTCGGTGTAGCAGTGAAGCCATATGCTAATGTTGGTTCCTAAAGTACAGCCAGAAAGTGAAGGCAATAGGAACTATGTATGCTCAATGAAAATTGGTTAAACCATTTTTTTTCCTTGTGGATTGACTAGTAGTAGTGGTGGGGGGCGTGCAGATAGATCTCTTGTATCCCATGGTGGCTTCATTCTCACTCCGTAGCCAAGGGTGACCTTGAACTTGCTGATTCCCCTACTTGCAGCTCCCAAGTGCTGATATTACAGTCATGGGCCTTGTTTATGTGGTATCGGGGCTTGAACCCAAGGTTTTATGCACGTTAGACTCTAGCTCCTCTTTTACATCCCTGGCTCCTCTTTGTTTGCTTGCTTGCTTTCCCAGTGCTGCAGAGCAAACTCAGGCCTTTGTGCTCGCTTGGCAAATACTCCCTACCGGGGATCTAAATCCCAAACCCTTGTTAAATCACTCAGATCACAAAGTGTTCACCCTGGTGGCTAAAAAAAAGGCAAGAACTAACATTATTTTATATTTCTGTTTTCTTCACATTTTCATAGAAGTCCATTCCCCTGTAGCAGTAGAAATCAGCAACTAGTTTGGATGAAGGAAGGAATAGGTGCACTAGAGAATGGCGATAAGGCAGTACATCTCTTTCCCCCAGCATACAAGATGTGCCTCTGCTGTGAGCAGCTGAGTGTGACTCCACCAAACTGTGGCACCACCCTGCTAAGACCTCCCTTGGCTTGCCATAACTCTTTTGCATCTTACTTGTCCTTTTATTGCCACTCGTGGACTTGTGCTACCCTACATTATTCCCTCTCCAAGGTCTCTCTATTCCTTTCTGTCGCACAGAGACAGCACCAAACGTGCTAAGGTTTGTCATATCACTTTAACAAAAGGAGCAAGAGAGACAAAATACCAAATAAGCAGAGAGATCACCTTCTGTCCTAGTTATGTCTCTGCTGTTGTGATAAATACCCCAAGAAAAAGCAACTTGGGGGAAAGAGTTTGTTTTAGATCATAGTTTGAGATTACAGTCCATCCTTGATGAAACTCAAGACAGGAATCTGAAGCAACTAGTCACTCGGCCACAGTCAAGAGCAGAGAATGAATGCATCATGCTTAGTGCTCGGCTAGCTTTTTCTATATACTCAAGAACCAAGCTCCCCACGTTTTTGTTGTTGTTGTTGTTTGTTTGTTTGTTTGTTTGTTTGTTTTTCGAGACAGGGTTTCTCTGTGTGGTTTTGGTGCCTGTCCTGGAACTCACTCTGTAGCCCAGGCTGGCCTTGAACTCATAGAGATCTGCCTGCCTCTGCCTCCTGAGTTCTGGGATTAAAGGTATGCACCACCACCACCCGGCTCAAGCTCCCCACTTTTAAGCTGGGTCTTCCCACCATATCAATTAAGGCACTCAAGACCATCCCCCAAATACACACACACACTCAGAGAGAGAGGGAGAGAGAGAGAGAG